CGCGTGGACTCGGTGGCCCCTGCCGGCATTTCTCGCGGGCACCCGGGACTTTCTGCTCAACAGCCTCCCGGCCTCGCAAGCCTTAGCTCCAGCACCCCTTGGGGCGACCTGCTCGGTGCAGACCTCTGATTCTGTTTCGCAGGATCGCGCCCGGAAAGACTGGCACGCACTGCAGGTGCCAGCATTAGCAGCGAGGACTGGAGGTCTCCGTGGAGAGCCGCGCCTTGAAGAGACGGACGCTGGCAGCTCTGGCCTCAGAGCTGCCCTCGAGCCCTGCAGCATCCATGCTCCTGTCGTGGCTCACAGGACTAGGGGCTGGAATGGTCTTCCTGTACTTCGTGCAGAAACTCCTGTTCCCTTACTTCTGGGACGACTTCTGGTTCCTGCTGAAGGTGGTGCGTTTTGGAATTCGAATGGAGATGTACAGACAGAGAGGGGAGCTGGTCACTGGGCTGGATAAATTCCTGAGCCATGCCAAGAGGCAACCTCAGAAACCTTTCATCGTCTACGAGGGAGACATTTACACCTATCAGGATGTGGACAAAAGGAGTAGCCGAGTGGCCAACGTCTTTCTGAATCATTCCTCTCTGAAAAAGGGGGACACCGTGGCACTGCTGATGAGCAATGAGCCCGACTTTGTTCACGTGTGGTTCGGCCTGGCCAAGCTGGGCTGCGTGGTGGCCTTCCTCAACACCAACATTCGCTCCAGCTCCCTCCTGAGTTGCATCCACACCTGCATGCCCTCAGCCATAGTGGTGGGCGCAGGTAGAGTATGGGGTGTGGTCTGCTTATGAAGAATGGCAACCCGCCTGTTTTCCCGCCCTCCTTTTCTTTATAATAGTTCGTAACTAATACTGTGCGCGTGTGATGCAGTGTGCATGCTAAGGGTACAGAATCGTTTTACAGTTCTATGACCAGTGGTTTACCATTCCTCTCCCCCTTCAATCACTTACACTGTTGTAGATTAGTTCAACAGTTTTTAGATAACTTTTATGAAATCTCTGCTTCCTACCATTTTGGGAGGGGGTCAGTTTTACTGCTATTCATACCTTCAGTGAATGCAAGAACACAGAGAAATAGAATGTGATCAGTTCTAAATTTTATCAGCTCTGACAAAATGTTTGATGAGCAGAAAAGTTATCTTGACTTCATTTTGGAATACCGAGATGCCTCTAATAGTTTCTTTATCAAGATGATTACATTTGCAAAACAGATATGTTTAATCTCAAGGGCATGAATTCCTACCTTCATGTCTGCTCTTATTTTACAGAATTTGCAAGCTAGGATTTGCCTAAGAAGGTTGGGCTCCCACCTGCCAGCCAGTGGGCGGGCTCTTGGCAGCCTCTAGGCCTCTTTCTCTCTCTTCCACTGCCCCCTCTAGGCCTCATTTTGTTTCCTCCAGTAAGTTCTACCCTTTCCCTCCCCCAGCCTCGGAGTTAGGATGGCTTTGGATACACACATTCACACTAAACTACGAAGAAAAATCTTTGGCTAAGTGCTTAATTAACAAAGAGCCTAGGAAGACGGTTGCTTAACAAAATGGAATTGAAGTATGAAAAATGATACATAGTGGGTATAATTTAAATGATTTATATATGTTCCTCTTGCCTGGGGGTAGGAAGGTATGAGTGGGGAGGATCTATGGCAAGGACCTCATATAATATTTGCACAACACACAAAAGGAATTGAGCAACATGCAGGAAAATGGCTAGTACTTCGAGGCTATCACTCTTCCTAGTGTCTTTTGTCCCTCCAGGCTCAATTTGTCTCTGATAAAGTGGCAAAATGTTTACTCACAAGCACTGATTTTATCTTGTTTGGGCTGTAGGAGTGAAGGAGACAGAAAGTTTCCGTGTGTATTGTTTATTTATTTTTACCACTTGTGCAGGGACCAGTGAAAATGTAAATGCAGCAGGAAAAATGATCAGCGTTCATCTCTGGATAATAATCTAATTAGATTGCTGAGTTTCTGGAGCAAATGTAAGCTCCAAACTATGCTTAAAAAGATACTAAAGACACTTCCTTTTGAAGAGCAAACTAAAAGACCACAGTATCTCTGAAAGATTTCTGTGGCCCTGATGTTGAGGCCAATCTTAGAAGCATCCCAAAGCCGGTTTCCTGAGGGATTCCTCTTAAGTGCATCCGGCTGGTTACCTCTCAAAATAGAGCATTCAAACTTTGCCATTGACTGAATTGTTGCTTAATTAGGACCAATTAATTTTGCAGTTTTATTCGTGCCAGCTTTTCCTTTGCTTGCCAATAACTAATTGCATTATTTCTTTGTTTTCATTTTTAACAACCAGTTTTTGTATTTAAAAAAAAGAAAGAAAAAGCCACTTTGGAATGCTAGCGTTTTAAGCCAGACTATTTTGTCGATTTGCTCAGAAAGTACATAGCTGGAGAAATCAACCTTAAATACTACTAATCATTCTTTTGGGCATACCTCCAAAATATAATTTGCATATGTTTTTCAAAGATGGTACAATTCTGTTTTGATTAATTAATAGATTTTTTTGCTAAGGTGTAGCTTAGTCATAGTCACTTTTCTGCATTTAAAGCTCTTACCCTGAAATGCTGTGTTCTTGGTGTCTTGAGTGTCAACGATGAACAGTATATACATATTGTTTTAAGAACTTTAAATTTCAGAGTTCTTAGATTCTTTCTGGATATTTCTGATGGAGATGTATGATTAAATCACTATATCCCCACTATATTGAGGTGGAAAGACAAGTCAAGTGGTTCAGACAGAGATAAGCCAGGCAGACTTGGATTTCATGTATGGTCTGCCACTTCCTAGCCGTGTGATTAAAGATAGTACCATCAGCTACCCTATGTCTCACTCTATGTAGCTGTAAAATGGTGTTAATACCATCTACTTCACAGCATAATTCTGAGGATTAAATGACGTATCTTTGTGAAGTGGCTAGCTCAGTGCCTGATGTATACTAACAAGATGGTTATTGAATTAAAATAATTGCTATTAAGATTACAGAGTCAGCACAGGGCTTTTAATAAGGATCTCATTTGCTGCTACAACCTAATTTGGTGTTAGCTATAAGAAAGATTAATATATAGTTGGTTTGAAATAGGACCTTGAACACATTATTTTCATATGGTTTTGAAAAATTATATTTTTCTTTTTTTTGGCGTTTAATTCTTTTTCCTTTTTTAACATTTTTTATTTTTTTATTTTTATTTTTATTTTTTTGTCCTTTATGAGACCAGCCGCACCGTGCTCAGCCACTGAGCACTGTGAGCGCACCGGTCATCCCTATATAGGATCCGAACCCGCGGCGGGAGTGCTGCTGCGCTCCCAGCGCCGCACTCTCCTGAGTGCGCCACAGGCTTGGCCCAACATTTTTTATTTATTTATTTTTATTTATTTATTTATTTTTTTTTGTCTTTTTCCATGTCCAGCAACGGATCGCAACCCTCAGTGTCGCCCCCGCACCGGACTGGGACCGGCAACGGGATCGCAACCCTCGGTGTTGCCCCTGCGCCTCGCTCAGCCAGTGAGCGGGAACCGGTCTGTATGTGGGATCCGAACCCTCAGTGGGAGCACCGCCGCGCTTCCCAAGCGGCGCACTATTCAACTTTCTAAATTACTATATAACAAAACACTTCTGCAATTTTCCTCATGGATTATATTTCCAATTTTGGATATATGATAAGCTAGTA